CTATTTTTATTATTAAATTATTTATTTTTATTATTTTAATTATTTAAATATTATTTTGACAATTGATCGTTGACTCCGGCGTTGAACTTTGACTTTTGGCGTTGACCGTTGACTCCAGCGTTAGCCATTGACCCCTAGTATGCATTATATGTGAAGTAAATATGTATCCAGTACTATGCACTTAATATGAACTAAATATGCATAAGATATGAATTATATATGTAATACTTATGAACTAAATATGCACCAATAATATCATCTATGTATGCACTGTTTATGCACTAAATATGCACCTTTTACTAACTAAATATGCATCATGAATGAACTAAATATGCACCAAAAATATAAATTTAATAAAATTAAATTAAATATAATAATTAATATTTTATTATTATATAATTAATTTTAATATTAAAACCATTAATATAAGTTATTGGTCTACACAAATAAATTGTTATTATTGAATCTCATATGAACTAAATATGCATTTCGTAAGAACTAAATATGTATCATGAATTAACTAAATATGCATTTCGTATTAACTAAACATGCATAATAAATTAACTAACTATGCATCATAAATTAACTAAATATGCATCATTATAAATTTAATTTAAATATAACAAATACGCATTTTGTATTAATTAAATATGCATTTCGTATGACATAAATATGCATCGTGAATTAAATAAATATGCATCATAAATTTAATTAAATATGATCATTATATATTTAATATAAAATATAACAAAGATGCATTCTGGATTAACTAGATATTTATTTGTGTTGATCAATGACTCATATTAATCAATTTAAATTTGAATTACTTATATAATAAAAACATTAAATTATTATATTTAAATTAAATAAATAAAATGCACATTTTATTGCATTTTCGTTGCATATTTAGTTCATAACAGATACATATTTAGTTCATAACAAGTGCATACTTAGTTGATATTATTTGGTGCATATATAGTTCATAAGGGTTGCATTGCAATTCATACCCCATGCATATTTAGATCATATTAAATGAATGGTCTGGATGCATATTGACTTCATACATACTACATACTAGGGTCAACGGGTCAACGTCAAAAGTCAACGAATCTCACCGAAAGTCAACAGTCAACGCCGGAGTAAACGGTCAAGGCCGAAGTCAATAAATAATTATTTTCTTATTTAATTAATGTATATTCTAATTGATTTTGGTCTAGACAAAATGAGTGGCTAAGATTGAGTTTCACGTACTCATTTTATAGAGTGGTCTAATTGGATCCACCTTTATATATATTTTATATTGCTACTTAGTTTACTACTCCCTCCTATTCATTATAAATGTCGTTTTGACTTTTTTTGATTCATCCATTTTGTTATGTATCTAGACATATTAATGTCTAGATACATAATAAAATGGATGAATCATAAAAGTCAAAACGACATTTATAATGAACAGGAGGTAGTATTATTTTTTTCTTATCTATTCTGGAATTGTTTTGACAATTTTGAAATTCTCGTTAACTATATTTTTCATGGTATGTTTTACTTCAAATAGTACAATTGTTTCTTTTCGCCATCATCATCTCACCTCATTTGCATAAGAAAAAGTTGACCTCATTAGAACATTCAAAATTATTTTATTTGAACTGTAATGGTCTCTTTTTGTGGTACTTCATTGAAAGCACACAATCTACATTACTTACAGTTAGAAATTTCTAAAAAAATATAATTCATGTCGTAATTTAGAATAATTTATCATATTATTATTTTTATCATACTACTATTAATCATTAATGTGAATTACAGTATTTACTCATTTAATTACCTCTTTCACATGCTTTTCGTTCCAACATTTTCAATCCTCATTGGACACAATAATTTTTATTTTATTTTAGTTTTATTTTATTTTTAAAAAATAAGTATCAAATAGAGATGAGAAAAGTAGCAAAACATATTTTTATTTTCCCACAATTTCCGATCTTTGATTTATACAAAGAGCTCACTTGCAGGCATGATGGAAATAAAACAAATCACCCCTTACAGTCAGAGGTGATGTCATCAACGTATTTGGAATGCACTGAAACAAGTCACTAACACATGCCTGGGAGCCACCCTAATCTCTGTTTGCCAACATCGTACACGACCTCGAATGTTTTCTGCTGAGTAGTGCCGAAAGTAGGATGATAATCGTCATTGGAGGCAAAAGCAAAGCACATTAGAGACTTGTTGTAAAATATAATTGGTCCGAAAAATTCAAATCGATTTGCACGTTATTCTGAAAGGTGAATGACACAACTGGGACAACATTTTTGTGACGAGGAACAAAACAATATTCGAGGCCTAAGGCATTAGATGGCGGGTTTGCATTGAAGTATCCGTAGTCATTGATCATAAAATAGTTGAATGTTCTTGCCAACACTTTGTACACATCATAAGGGAGTTTGGTGATGGTTGTGCCGGAGTCAATGAAGGTGTTTCCAGGTCCCCCAAAATATGTTGGGTCTAAATGTAACTTGCGTCCGTCCACGGCTATGGCAATCATGGTGATGAAATAATTATATGGGTATTGTGATATATAAATCAAAGGGGTAAATTTTGTGGTACAATTGCAATCTTTTCCGAGTGTGAAAAAGCCTTTGGAGGATGGGTTGGAAGGGATGCAGTAGGAGAAACATTGATGAAATTGATTAGCAGTTTGGGAAACTATGGACGAGTTGGATCTGCCGAGGGCCAATAATCCATCTTGAAGTCCAAAAGTTCCATTAGCATAATGGCTACACCCAAACATGAAAGCATGGACGTAATGTTTGGTGCAATTGTAAGTGTGTCCTTGCTAAAGTTGCCACAAGTTTCGCTGCCATCGGTATACTTGAGTTTGTAAGCGCAGTTGCCAGTTGAGGAGCAGGTAGGGCCAGAAGGGGTGTCGGGAGCCAGGATAGAGCACTGAGTGGACTTGCAGGGGATGGGGGAGTAGGAAGTGGATTTGGAGGGGTTGAATAATGGGTCTTTCTGTCTATGGCAGTTCCCCTTATGGTACGGTTTGCATTGAATCCATGTAACATCGCTGCTGGGGAGCAAAATGAGGGACATCTTTTGTTCTGGCGTGCCGAAGCCCATGGTGATGATGTAGTCCCTGTAAAATTGAAATTCCACAGGGCTGAGAGGAGTGCGAGCAACATCATGTCTCTTCGGTTTTCTTGGCTTCGTAAGCTGCGGCTCGTCAGCACATGGACCATACCTGTGTATGAGTTCCAATACTGCTAATGATGAGTGTCTATTTTTCATACCTGCACATTCATGAATTTGTTTGGAACTCTTCGACATATAGAAATAAAAAAATAAAAAATACAGGTACTTTATGGCTTTTTTTTTCAAATTAACAACTATTTTAATTCAATTTAATATTGAGATCACCACTTGTACAAACTGAATTTGTACACTCGTATGCAATAAATCACTGAGAATGCACAAAATATGATACCAATTGGGATAGTTGGAATGCACACTGTAGCCGGGAGTTGGGAATCAATATCAAAGGTTTGAGATTGAGTTTTTGAAGTCTGGCTTTCATTTGAAGAACTTGAAAATAACACTACAAAAATACAAGAATAAAACAAAGAGGAATTTACACCCTATACTAACACATTTAATTTATATAACACTTTTGCACCCTTTATATTCTTATTTATAAAATTACCTAAAGAAGTTAAAAATATTTCAATTATACCTAAATACATTGTTTAAGTGTTATTACCTTTTTATCTGCACATTAAATGCTAATTTGATATTTAATTGAAATTAAAGATGCACCTACCTAAAAAATTGGAATTTTCGATCTTCAACCGTCAAAGCCTTAAGTTAAGTCGCATCATTGTTAAAAAAAAAATAAAAATAAAAATAAAAAAATAAAAAAAAACGCAGCATCATGGTTGAAGGATTGGAGGCGGACCTACACCGTCGTATATGCATCTCCATCTTCCCAAATTCACGAAAATCAAACCCGAACATGGAATTCAATCCTCTTTGATAGTCGCTTCAGACCTCAATTCAATTTCATTGCCTCCACCAGACATTGTCTCTTCCGCATGGTCTGTGTTTAACCAATCCCCATATTTGTGTCTATGCCAACTCTAGTGGTGATTTTATATTTTTGCATTTTTTTTTTTTGCTTGTTTATTTGCAGGATAAGCCCCTCAAACACATTATCTCCTATTTTTATTTTTTATTTTTATTTGCTACCGTCCGTTTCATGGACCTCCATTATGCTACAAAACATTATCTCCTATTTTTGTTATTTGCACTTTTATAAGAATTTGATCCCATTTCTATTGAACTTCTGGAAGCACTTGTGTTAACTGTTTTGAAGATGTTTGTGGACATACTTTGATTCTAAAACTGGTTAAACGTTTTACGCCTTTGGATGTTGAATAGTACTGGATTTTGAGTGTTAAAAAAAAAAACCCCAAATCAGTATATGTTGAGTATATATATAGTATATGTTCATTATATGTGCAGTATATGTGTTGGATGAAAAACTTCTCAGAGGATAATTGTTTGAATACTTGATGTGCTTGATTCGTAGACAAATAGTTTTCATTTTGTATAAGTTGCGGATATATGTTATGTATATAATAAGTATATATTTTGTATAATATCAGGGCTACCTTATATGCATGTATGATTTATATTTACAAAGCATAAACTGGTGATTTTTTTTTTTTTTTTTTTTTTTTTGTATATGTATGGTTTATATTCAATATATTTTCGGTATATGGTAAAGAAATTTATCGCGAGACATAATTTTTATGTATAAAATCTATTTATATTTAGCATAAACTGATTTTTTTGTGGGTGTTGTGTATATGTATGATTTTATATTAAGTAATTTGTTATAATATGTTTTTAAACTAGATATATATTTTTATGTATAAAAAAAAAGAAAAAAGAGGAAGATATAATTTTTTGATGGAAGATATTTTTTCATTACAACATATACCGAATATATACTAACATAAATGCAATATATACCACCTGACAACTACGTGAATTAAGGAATTCCAGTTGCGGACATATACTGAATATATACTGACATATA